CCAAATGTCTCAAAGGTAGTGACAAGACAGCACTGTTATTTTTTTGCTGGATGTACTTTTCAGAAATAGAGAAAGTGCAGTCAATCTTTTGGTTCTTTGGAAACACAAACCCAACCTGTCTGATGTTATTTTGTCCATATGGGGGTGATATAGGATTCCTTTCCAAATGAAAGGTAGCCACCACTGTAAATATCTCTTTTATACCCTGGAAAAGAGTGAAATGTTTAGATATGGATGCTGTCAGAAGAAAAAAATCGTTTAAAAGGGTATTGTAATATCTACAGAGGCTTGGTAACATTAAAAAAATACTCAGGCTTGAAAGAATAACTGTTAATTATAGATCTTGGCCCCCAGATAATTTAATGCTGTCCTTTTGCAAGACAGCTGCCCGCATTAAAATTATCAGGGCAAGATCAGCGTTACTGGTCAGTATGATTGCTATTCATTCCTGGCACAGATTGTGCAAGAAGGAGTCCTGGAAAATGGGTTCATTGGAATGTTTGCACAGGGAAATGTCAATGATAGCCCACACATGCTCAATGGAGTTCATGTCTGGTTTTGGAGACATGAAGTGATGCCCTCTCCTTACCTTGTTTTCTAAGACGGTTTTTGTTGGGTGAGACGCGATTTAGATTTATTTTTTTTCCAATTTGCTCATACTAGTTTCAGAAATAAAATTTGAATCCAGGGCAGTTTTGGCTTCAGCCTGTGTTTCAAACCTTAAGGACACAAACAAAAACAATACAGAAAATATGGTCTTAGAACTGCTTCTTTTAACCTGGGCGCAGAAGGTGCGGCACCTCATGTTTTAATGTTTTGCCGTAGGTAATAATGTCAGTACAGTCCTTTTGATAACTGAAAGGTAAAACTGCCATTAGACACTCAACTCTATTTTTAAATCATGTATGCCTGCAAAATGCCTTACAGGCAATTTTGAGAAATTTGGGAGCTGTTGTTACAGCAGTAGTTGGTTAATAGGCTATATAAGTCATGCTCTATAATGGGTGAGTGGTTTGGCACCACTTGCAGAACACTCAGCACAAACAAACAGCACTTCAGTTGCCAGTTTATTGGCAACCTTTGATCGAACAAAAAGAAATAAACAAAAAAAGAGGGGGTTTTTGTGAGGCTCAGCAAAAGGTACTCCGAATAATGAAAGGGCTGGCAGGCACAAAGTAAAACGCAAACGAAATGTTAAGGCATGGGTCCAAGACATGCTTCCAGTCCACAAAAGCACATGCAGAATCAAAGGTTTTGCTTGCCTGGGTGGGTTTCCTTTTTTACGGTTTCTCAACCCACAGGTATGTATCCTTCACACCCCTCTGGCAGCTCTCTGAAGTAGAGAATAGGCAACCAGGAGCTATCCCGCCACACTCCCGAGACATTGTCTCTGTCTCCGAGGTCAAGGTTCTCCGGAGCGGCTGTTCCATAAGGGATTCTCCGTGGGGTGACATTTGAGTCATCACATCTTTTCAAAAGGTCATAGTGTCAGCTCGTCTTAGGATAGAGATGCCAGCAGCTATATCACCCTGCAGCTCACAAACAGCAACCCACTGAAGCCCAGCAGGTGTGAGCCTGGCCAGTTCCTGGATGGGAGACCACCTGGGAAAGCTAATTTTGCTGCTGGAAGACATGTTAACTTCTTCCTACAAAAGAGCAGGATTACCCAAGCATCCGGGCCAAATTTCCCATTGGCCTTTACCAGTTTTGGCCTCCTAATAATCCCCATCTATGAATTGGCTTTATCACTCTGTTCTCCTCCCTACTGACAGCTGATGTGTGGTGAGCGTTCTGGCGCACTATGGCTGCCGTCGCATCATCCAGGTGGATGCTGCACATTGGTGGTGGTGGAGGGGAGTCCCCATTACCTGTAAAGCGCTTTGAGTGGAGTGTCCAGAAATGTGCACATTAAGTGTAAGGAGTTATTAATTTTGATAAATTTAGACAACTGTTCTCCTTACCATAGAGCTGTCTGGCATTTTCCGTTTAGGAATCAACAGTGAACACACAATTCAGGAGACAGGTGGAAACTCCAGAGAAATTAATTTCCTGGGAATAGGAGGTATGTCCTTACACAGAAGGATTGTCAAGGACAAATTGGCCACCCAGCTGAAAGCTGATACTGTATCTTATTCAAAATTCTAAAGGACTGTAGCCCTCTTACCTTTTCTTATAACAAACAAACACCCCAAAAGTTAAAAAAAATGCATAATAAGGCAATAAAACCATACAGTATATTGCTTCTTTCAAATACCATTATTTGAAGTCTCTTGAGCAATCTTTTGGAGTCTTTTTCAGTTCCTAGTATAAAGTATTCTGTTTGCTCATTAACATTGAAGTTACAAGTTCTGTGTGCCATATTGTTGGCTTTGTTTTATTAAGACCAAAAAAAGCCAGGTTTTAATAGTTACATTCTGTCTATAAGATGCACTACTGAGACTGAAAAGAGACTGCAGAGTTCTCGCAGTTCACTGATCAATATTTTTCTTTATTTATTTTCTGAGGTTATAATACATAAAAGACATCTGGAAGCTAGCCTGGGGTACCTCGTTTCCAATTCCAGGAAAAAATCTAAGTGCCTGATCTGATAAAAATCTTCTCCCAGGTTGAAGAATTTCTGGTTGTTGTTGTTTTTTTTCCCAAGCTATCGGGGAGGTTTGGAGCAGTCAGAGTTCTGCAATAACAGGATAACCGCTGGCTGAAAAATGGGAAAAATTTGTCACATTTTTTTAAGTCTGTCATTTTACTGATCATTATTTGTAAATGGTTCATATGAGGTGATTGTAAAGACTAATAGAAAAACAAAGGATTTGTTCAGCAAGCTACATTGTTTCGTATTAGTATTTTGGATTAGTGGACACTCTAAGAGATTTTAAGTGGGCAATATGTTAAAAGGGGGTCATCAAACTAATTATGGGGGACAAAACAACTAAGCTAACCAAAAAAAATGAATGGTTGCAAACTAATAACAACAGTATGGAAATACATTGGTCATAAATCTTCATGAATCTCTTAAGGCCAGGCTTTCTGGACATGATGTTGAGACTTACCAAACCACATAAACTATTTTCTTCTTTATAACAAGCTTCCTATTAAATGTTCTAGTTATTATTTTTTTTTCCATTAAAGAGGCCGTAAAAGCAAGAGTTATGTACCTCACGGAGAGTGAAAGGAAAGAAACCCTTTCTTTTCAGGACAAGTGTTTTTTCTGGCAGAACAATAAAAACATCTAACAAACCACAAGTGAATTGTTCAGAAAATTAAGTACACCTTCTATGTTCTTTATTGATATGACTTCTAGAAAACCTTGATTATTATTAGATAAGATCCCCTTATTGGCCACATACAATTTGCCTTTTCGCATACCCCAGCTTGCTCTCCATGAGACACACAGACAGGGAGAGAGAAGCTTGGGATCAGAGCGCAGGGTCAGCCATTTATACAGTGCCCCTGGAGCAGTTGGGGTTCAGGGCCTGCTCAGGGGCTCAACACAGTAGGATTCCTTTGCCAGCAACGGGATACGAACCGGCAACCTTCCAGCCACAGGCGCAGATCCATAGCCACAGAGCCACACCATGCATCTTTATTTGTTAATAAAGTCTTTTATAATCTCTCACACTTGTCTCTTTGCAAGATATCAAGTCAAACTCACTTTAATTTTTTTCTAGAATCCCTTTAAATGGGAATTTGATTCATCAGCAGAGCTTGAATTATAATCATCATTTAATTTTTACCACTTTTATTTCACCAGTAACCACTTTTATCACTTTTATTGCACAAAGGAACTCAACAGCAACAAGAACAAATGTTAAAGACATCAGGTTTTCTGCACTGTACAGATGTGGAATGAAATTGCACTGGATTTACTTGGAAATGCATGAAAATGTGTAGATTTGGAAATGGAAAGAACGTGCAAACTTATTTTTCTAGTACATAATAATAAAAATAACTATTTTTATTGTTGTTGTTAACTTTAGTGTGATGACCATAATTCCAGTTGAAGAGAAGTGTAAAAACTAATTTCATTATATTTCTGTTGTCCGTCTACAGATAGCAGAAGGGGCTATTAAGAGTCAGTTATGCAACAGGAGTGTGTATCCTAAAATCTTACTCCTAACACAATATAGACACTTCCTTCTTTTCCCTTCCTACCCAGCTTCAGTCTTGATATGCTAAACAAGAACCAAGCATTTGGCACCATAGAGTGAAGGCACAAGCATCCCAAGGCTTAACTCCAGTTTGCCACATTTGTCTCTGAAACTTTTAATGTGGTAAATCTCCAGTTTTCGTTGGGATTCCCAAATGAAGGTCATGCTGCTAGCTCTGTAACTATGGATGCCATAATTCTTTCCTGCAAATCTTATCAAGTACTGCACAGCTCTGAGCGTGAGAACAGGGAAATCCAGTGATGAGACGAAACCTAGCATGCCAAAACCCAAAAGTGCAAAATATGAAAATAAAATGCTGTAGTGAAATTAGTTGTGGGCTGTGGACTGTTGTGTAATATTTAAACTCTGTGGTGTAAGGAACTGCTGACTCTTTCACTTGGAAAAAAACTTGGTTGCTTTCAGCCTCCATCCTTGGCTTGGGGTGAAAGAACTGTTGTCAAATGCTGTACATGTCTACCACAGTTCAACAGCAAAATATTCGTATGGAGACCCAGCTCTTAGTCCTTTTCCTGCCTCACCTACTGGATTTTTAAATGGTCAAATGGAGTGTAGTGTGTTGACTTTCAGTATTGAACCAGTATTCAACACTTCAGTCAATACTGGTTCAGTTGCAGCTTCACTGTGATCTTCAATGCAAACTAAACTGGATAGATAGGCCAAATGGCTTCTTCTTGTTTGTAATAATTGGCATACCGAAAGGTGGAGTATCGTCACACAGACATCTTTATAGGTGTGACACACATACAGAGCTGCAAGGTAAAACCAAAATGTGTTCTTTAAGTATACTGTGCTAAAAAAAAACTCTTGTTCTCTTGTAAAGCAAAAAAACTCTCTCAATCGACAACTCACACTTCAAAATCCTCCGGTTTGTCAGTCTCTCCTTCGATCCTTCTCAATCTGGTTCCAACATCCTGAGGATGATGAAGAAGAGTATCTGTGGGGAGTGCTGCTGTGAAATATATGTATATTGCGCTGTGTCCATGAAATTGCTTTTCTTTGGCTTGTGCTATATCTGTGTAGGCTTGGCTGTCGAGTAGCTGTACACTTCATGAAAATGAATTGATGGCTCGCTCTTTTATTTCTTCCGGTAGAATGGTTCCTACCCTGTGAGCCAAGAATGTTCCGGAACGTTTGGAAAAGGTAAGACTATCCAAGAAGTCTATTTAGTAGCTTGAATATCAGCTTGTCAGACTTATTGCATTGTTGAAGACATTTAGGCCTTTTTATATGTTTTATAGGCATATAGCATTTTTATAGGCCTGATATTCAAAACTGTTGAGCTCCAATCTACAGTGTTCGCTTCTTAAAAAGACGTTTAAATATTCTGCTCTAATACTCTACTCCCGTCATTTTTTAATTGATCTGTGAAGGATTTAGAAAAATGTCTCACAGCATACAATATATGAAAAGTGGTCACAGATATGCACATTGTGGCCATGCCGGATTTAGTGACCACATGCTACTTGCCACTTCACTTACAATTGCATTTGTGCAAAATAGAAATAAACAAAATAAATTTGACAGTGGACAAAACAACGACACCTCCTTCCCAAGTTTTCACTCTTGTTCTTTGGTTAACATTTCTGATAGATGCGTGCTTTTACGTCTCTGCCTCATTTTTTATTCATAGACATACGATTGCATCTGTAGCCCCACATCAGCTTGTAGCAACACTTGAGCTACTAACTTACACAAATAAACACAACACAACCACCCTTAAATATAGCTCACCAGCCACGAGGACGGCTCTAAAATCTTGCAAAGCTTTATGACAAGCAATTGACTCACCAATTACACACACATGCTACGAATTCTTTAAGCCAAGTTGATGAGAAAAATTATTAAGACAAATACAAAGATGCCTTTCTATATGAAATATGAATTATGACTATTTAGCTTCACAGGGGAGATTTATGTGTTTAGATTTTAAACTCTATCTCTTCATGGGGATGATTATATTACAGAACAAATCTATCACTTTGTACCCGTTAGCCAAACTGTTTCCTGAGCACCTTGGGTGCAAATTTATTCAGGAACTTCTTTGTGAAGCTTGTGTTTTCATGCCCCTTAGCCATGACATCAAACCCTTTACTGTGGGGATTCTCTAATCTGCAAAATGTAAAAAAAGGGGGTAGAAAAGGCATTGTGTTTATTGGCAGGACTTTTGTAACTCTCCAGTTACCCCACTTCCATAATTCCAAGAAGATTTGGTTACACTACCGGCAAGCCACTACGATTGAAACACCAGGGAATTATTATTTTTTTCCGTTCTCCCCGATTCAGTGACAAGAGGTGTCAGAAAAAGACTGGACTGACCTTGCATGTCCTCTGTCTGAGGTTCTTATTAACACTTCAGAGAGCTCGGTTAGCTCTCTCTCTCCTCCTTACAACTCTGAATTCCACTTCAGCAAAGACCCAGCTATCCCAAGTCACCAAACCCAGGTACTGGTTTTGTGCAAAAACAAAACAACAAAAATAATGACTGTCTGATTTAATGGAATTTACTTTTTTACTTAGATGCAATGCCAGGGGATACTTAGAAAAATGAATAATACCTCCAAAACATAATTTGGATAGCCAGAATGTAGCGGCAGGCAAATACAGCTCAAGTGTTTGTTATTATTTATGCTTAGCTTTTACACATTAAGGGGTAAGAACATTGTAAGTCACAGGAGTGCTACTCTGGAATTGCTGTAGATATCACAGAAAAACCTGTGTTTTCTTAGTGTGGAGCACCCAGTGTGGGGGAACAGTAAAATGAACAAGAAAGCAAGACGTGATATGTGCATTAAGTGAAAACGGGAGAGCAGCAGAGCAGAATGGTACATTAAATAAGATGTCAGACAGAGCAGTATGTACACGAATGAACGAAAGCAACTTAAGGGTGCCTGTATCTACATGTGTTCTGCATTTGCTTTACTTTATTAGCCCCCAGCACACCTACTGGCTTAGAATGATGACATAAAAACAGGCCCCATATAGGGAGAAAAGTAAGAGAGCCATTTATCCCATGTGGAAGTATCACATAAGTGCCTTACGGGTGCCAAATAGGTTTGAATTACAACCATCAGAGGCTGCTACTGAATAATACTTCATTGTTAACTCTTTATTTGAGGACCTGAGCTGTGCATACAATATTTTTTATCCACCTGATTTATGATGGACATTATGGACACTGCTGACTTTTTAATGGGATCCCATGCTTTGATTCTCCTTGTGAATCAAGGCCTTTATGAGAACTTCAAGAGGAGATAAAAAGTGTTACCTTCAGTGAAACGCAGCTGGGTTCACCCAATGCATTGTTGTGCTCCTTTCAAAATCCTTAACATCAGAATGCTACTACAGTCTCTTGATCTGAAAGCCGAAACATAAGATTGGTCAGATTTAGATCAAAGAAACTAGAAGGTATAGTTACACTGTCACCGGCCTGCAGGGAGTTCAGTAACTGTTCAGTAAACCCCTTCGTTCATGAAGCTTGTTTGCTATGAGTCTGATATGGAAAGGAACACAATGTTATATGTGTTTTTTTTTTAAAGTAGGATTTGATTTTTTATTTGTGTAACCTCACATCATACCTCCCTGGCTGAGGTACTGTGAGGAAATTATTGTACTGTTCTTGATTATTTCTTGAGTTTTGGTACTAAATTCAGTCAAGACTCACAAACAAAATGGTCCCTTTTCCTTCTATTTTATGCACAGACTGTCAAACACAATTTTCCTTGAAACCCTATTCCTGGAAGTTTTACTAACATATTTGAATTGGTATATTATTAATAACTGGATGAAAGAGGTCATTTCTGAGCAATTATTTAATTCTTTAGAATGGGTCAACAATCTGTAAACTGTTAAATAAAATTGACTCCTGTCCATACTGAATCTGAGGTTGCTCTTAAACTCCTACAGGAGTTTAATAAGAAATCGAAATGCTCTCCTTCCCTCCATTTTCAAACTGCTTTATCCAGTTCAGAGTCACGAGCCAAAGCCTATCCCAGCAAGCAACAGATGCAAGCCAGGATACACCCTGGATGGGATACCAGTCCATCACAGGGCTCAGACACACACAGGCTCACACCAGGGCCAATTTTTCCAGAACCCAGTTAACTTACCAGAATGTTTTTGGACTGTGGGAGGAAACTGGTGCACCTGGAGGAAACCCACACGAGCACAGTGAGAACATTAAAACTCCACACTCTAAGGAAACCACTCTTAGGCAAATATTTCTCTTTATCTATAAATTTAGCAAACCAGTTAATCCATTTTGAACTTGCACATAGAAGGAAGACAATATCATACTGGCAGTCCCAGATAAAGATTGCTTTTAACTCTCTCTGTCATTGATGTACAAAGAATTGACCTTGTACTTACGAGTGCGTGTTTTAGGAATGCCCTGTATTAGGATCCTTTTGAGTTTGATCTTACCAATGTGCTTTTGCATGCGGCTTGTGTACAGATTTTTTTAAATTGGGACAAATTATTACTCTTGTGTTCAACGCATTTTTTTGTTTTGTTCTGAAAGATTAACACACATCTATTACATGTGGAATAAAATACAATTATTAATAAAATAAAATGATTCCCTTTAGGAGTAATATCTTATGGTTCTGTTGACTGATAAATGAAACCAAATAACCAGCCAACCAAATGTGAAGTTCCTTTGGAAGAACAACATCTGCCTTTTTTCACTTTTTCCACTGGTTCTGGGGGGTCTTGAGTTTCCATACATTAGTTCCCTAAAATGTGGATGAACCTTTGGCTGGTAATTGAAATTAAACTGTTCATGCCCTACAAACATAAATGCTGTGAAGGGCAAAAGACATACTCAGTACTCAGTTCTCATTGTCCAGTGTTTACCATTTTCCAGTGACCATTAACATGCTTTTGAGAGTCTTTCCAGATTGGTGTTTTACATATACTGGAGGGCCACATGTTTCCAGTTCTTTTTACTTATTAGCTTGAAATACAGTGGGTTTCATTCTGTGCACATTCACGATAGAGTACACTACTGGAGATCAATTGTGAAATAAAACTTAAATCACTCAAATAGAAGAAACAAAGAAAATTCATTGAATAAGCTAAGTGCAAAACTTAAGTCTTCTATGTTTTATCTACCTGAGAAAGCATTTTTGCTCTAAGCAGACAAGGTGGATTTTAGTTTTGCAAAGACTTGGCATTTCTACATCACCATCTTAGAAGAGTCATCCATAATGAAATACTAGGGGCAAATAGAGACAAAACATTCTATTATTCTGTTTGCTACTAAAATATAGCTGGCTGCTGAAAAAAGCTCCCAGTTTGACATACTGCAGACCTTGAGATGACTTCACTGTGGAGCTTGTCTCTGGTGGTCATCAAAGCCCGCGACTGAGTTCTTCTTTTGCAAAGAGAATGAAAGAGTGAGATGTTTTTAATGTACGTATTTAAATTTGATTAATAGGAATTATTTTTTTTCCCCCTCTGCAAAAAAAAAGAAAATTAATTATGCGCCCCCTTGGAGTGGGCCAGCAATTTTAAAAATGCATCCATTCAGACAGGAAGAAAAAATGCATATGGGAAAAAAAACACATATGAAAGAAAACAGACTGTGACAGATATGGAAATATAGCAGATGCAGAGTATGTACGGTGGACCAAAAGACGGCATTGAAAGGTGACCAAAAGTGAGTTCGTGCTCGTGTCTGCTTATTTTTTTTAAAACATTTTTTAACATTTGTCATTTCTTTGAAAGTAAAGAGGAGCACTGTGATGTCTGTGATTTGCATATTTCAAGCTGGGGGGAAATGATTATTATATGAAATGTTCAATAATACAACTGTAAGAATGGCTAAGGTTGTGAGTAGCAGTTGTGGTGGCTGTTTTAAAAGACTTTGTCGCGACTGGGAGCCCGCGGTTGTGGAGACCCACCTTATTATTTATTCGACACAAAAGAAACTAAAGGGGAAAAAAAGAATCTGCAGTAGCAACACTTGCAGTTCAGACACTGACGCTGGACAGCAGGAGTGAAACAGACTGAATCCCTCATCAATCTAGCTAATTTTAACTCCTGTTTGATTTAGAGCCCTAATTGTCAGGAACCTTGGAGTTTGCTAGCAGAGCTACATGTGAGTTATTTTCAGTCAAAGGACTGTATTGTCTTGATTGGATTGACTATGGGGACGCATGAGCTGTAACGTGAGACTAACTTTGCAAGGAAGGCTGTGAGTGCTGGTTAGGAGATCATTTGTGTCTGTAACACAGCTAGTAATGTGCTCTATGAGGTCATCAAAATATGTTCTAATTTGTTACAGGTTTTTTTTTACATATCCCCACTTACTTAAAGATAATGTGGCTCACCCATGAAATCTTTTAACCTGGGCTGGATAAACTTAGATGTACGTCCCAACCCATTAAACGTTTATTAACTCATATTTCCTAACTTTATTTTTTTATGATCAATATTAAACAAGGGTTAAAACTATTTCAAATGGACTTTTTAGTGATTATGCCATAGAAGGGCACAAAAGCTAGCTTTGCCTGCTCAGTTTATACCACATAAAAGTTTTTAACATTTGATCTCATCTCCGTAGTGAAAACAAGAGCTTTTCAAAGGAAATGAGGAACCACAGCCTCCTTTTCTACCCCCCTTTCGGCTTGATGTCTACAATATTGTTCTCAATATCTTGGAAATGGCAGAATAGCATGACTCTTGTTCTATTGTAAAGGTTTTCACAGCAAATTAAAGAGCACTTCATGATTCAGGACTCACATTTTTCTCCACCAAATCACTCCAAGCTTCAGCCACATCTAAGCTCAGAATTATGACGCCATGCTTGTGCTTCATTCTATGGATGCGTTGAGCTCGACCCAATTTTAAACAAGCTTCAACCTTTTACCTCCAAGTTTAAAAAAACCTGTTGCACTTAAGTCTGAATGATTTTAAGGGGTGCTTACTATTTTCAGACATTTGTTTTCTTTTGCATTTCTATTTGTGGATTCTTCATCCATTGAAATATCTTTTTCTTTATACTCCCTAGGCTGCTTGCCACTCCGATTGACCATTTCAGTTAAAAATAACTCCTCAGACTGCTTCTCGAGCTGCAGCTCCAGAAACTCAATAGGGGTCTCCTTTGTGGTTCAGCAGTTTCAACATTCAACGGTCTAACAATGGTCTTGAGGTCTTTGAATGACTTCACGTTCACAAACTCCATTCAAACTGCTTTATCCAATACAGGGTCACAGCCAAATCCTGTCCTGGCCAGAATGGGCATGAGACAGGACACACCATAGATGGAAACCCAGTCCATCGCAGGGCAAACACAGACACAAACTGTCACGAACCGTATTTCCACGTGCACCTCTCGCCATCAACACCTGCGCACTAATTAATCTATTCTCACGCCTTTTCCAATTTATAACGTCTCACTCCTCTCAGTCCTTGCTCACTGTTGAGATTGACTTTCGGTTTTCTCTTGTGCGCGTACCTTTTTCGACCTGACTACTGGATACCCGACCCTGCTCTATCTCCGGCCTCGACTTCATCTCTGTCTAGCATTTTTGGGATTTGGATACTCTCGACCTGACTACTGGATACCCGACCCTGTTCTATCTCTGGCCTCGACTTTGTCTCTGTCTAGTGTTTTTGGATTTGGATACTCTCGACCTGACACTCCAGAAACCCGACCTAGCCTTCCAACCTCGATCAAGTCTTCTGCCTTTCGCTCTTGGGATTTGGATGCCTTACTCATTCAGCCTACAGTTTCAGTACCGCATAGGGTCTGACCAGGTATTCTCAAACGTCCCTAGTGACAACACTGACACAAACACACACACACACCCTCACACCAAGTCCGATTTTTCCAGGACCGAATTAATCCAGTGCTATGTTTATGACCTGCAGGAGGAAATCGGAGCACACAGAGGAAACTCACATGAACTCTAGCACAACATACAAACTTCATGCAGACACCATACACAATTGTGCCACCATGCCACCCTGACAGATTTTCTCTAACCCCTTCCCCATGCAAAGCCAGAAGTGTAAGCCAATGAATGAATAATGACTATTATTAATCACATTAATATAGGAGGCTGGAATGATATATAGAAGAAATGGTAAAAATGCCTCAGTACTTTATTTAATGCATACTAAGGCATTAGCATACTTACTGTTTCAGGCTACACCTGGGATTCTTGTAGCAAAGTGATCCATTGTTTCATCTGTGCCTTAGAGTAATGTTAATCACTCACTAACACATTTTATCACTCTAAGAACAGTTATCACCAGCCTTTGTTTAATGTCATTTTGCAAGCAGGGTGTCTTGAGTAGATGTACTGGGAGGGTCTCATACAGAGCCTACTGAAAGTCTAAACCCCCTTTAACTTTTTTCACTTTCAGTTGCGTCAGTGCCTTTACATTTAAGTTCAGTGCACTTAAATTAGGATGGTTTCCTCTACGGGCAAAACTCCACACTTTTAAAGGAAAAATGCTTTTTTTAAAAATAAAATACATATTAAAAATACAAAACTGAAATGTCATAAGTGGATGAGTCGGAGTTAAATGCTATGGTGAAAAGACCATTGGCAGAAATTACAGCTGTTAGTCTGTTGGGTAGTGTCTCTGCTAGAGTTGCATTTCTGTATTTAACAATATTTGACCACTGTTCTTTACATAACTGTTCATGTTCCTTAGGGATCATTGATGGACAATGGTCTTCAAGTCATGCAACAGACTTTTGGTTGATGCTCTGACTGAGCTACTCGCGGACATTTGCCTTTCTGTTCTTTAGCCACTTCTGAGTAGCTCTGGCTGCGGGTCATTGTCATGCTGAACGTTGAACTTCTGTCCCAGTTTCATCTTTCTTGTAGAGAGAAGCAGGTTTTCTTCAAGGACTTTTCCGGACTTTGCTCCGTTCATTTTCCCTTCTGTCCTGACAAGTGCCCCAGTCCCTGTCAATGACAAACATCACCATAACATGATGCTGCCACCACTGTGCTTCACAGTAGGGATGGTGTTCTTTCGGTCATGTGCTATTTTGGGTTTCATCAAACCACAAAACTTTTTATGACATGGCTACAGGATAAGTGGGTTTTGCATACTTTAAACAGGATTCAGTGTGGGCTCTCTTGAGTAATGGCTTCTTTCTTGCCACCCTGCCACATGGGCCAGATTTTTGGAGTGCTTGGGACGTCATTGTAAGAGGCACACTTTGACTATTCTTGGCCAGAAAAAGCTAGTATCTCTTTCAAAGTTGTCCTTGTCTTTTTCTGATCATCCATCCAGTTTGGAGGGGTGATCTGATCTAGGTAGGGATGGTAGGTAGGGATGGTCTGATCTAGGAAGGGTCGTGATGGGACTATACATCTTTCCCTTCTTAATAATCATCTTGACTGTGCACCAAGGGATATTCAAGGCCTTCAAATGTTTTTATACCCATCCCCTAATCTGTGCCTTTCCATACCTTTGTCCCAGAGTCTTTCTGAAAGCTCCTCAGTGCTCATGGTTGAGTCTTTGTTTGAAAATGCACTATCCAGAACTACTAAATTTAGCCTGAAACCATGTGAAACACTGCTGTTTAAATCAGGTGTAATCCCATTAAATTTGGTGTGTGATTGTGTTTACACCTGAGCTAATTTAGGATTGCTATTACAAGGAGGAGTAGACACTTTTCAGTTGTTATTGCTAATGCTCGAAAACTGTCTGGAATATTGTGTGGTAGGATGTGTACATAAATGAAAAAAAAAATTAATTCCAAATACAAAGCAACAAAAGGTGCTGTAGATTATCTATGGGCAATGTACATAAAGCAGCAGTATGACCTCTAGCCTCATCTCGTCGGACCTGGTCAGTACTGGGATGGGAGACCTCTGAGGACAAACTAAGTTGCTGTAAGCTATGTTAAACCACTTGGTGACACAATTCCATCTGGACAAGATTCTCAAAAGCTGTGCCTAGCTGTAGTGACCAAGGACACTGTTCCACAGAAGCTGTTTTTCTCACTCTTCCATTTTTGAGAACGAGAAATTAAACCAAAGTCTCAATACTTGATTATTAAAGATCCCTTCCCAATGTCCATATGAGTTGGGGGCCTAGTTTAAGCAATTTCACACTTCCCTACACTTTCTGCTGCGCGGTGGTATGAAACGGTTACTGTGCATCGCACAAGATGAAAGGGACCCCCTCAGGCACTTAATAATGCTTTACTATGATACTCTGATATGAAAATGTGAGGAATTGTGTTTGTCACAGCTGCGTTATCTCGGCATCAGGGGTGCTCTTTACCAGTGTAGTAAAGCTCCGCATGCTGTGCTTTGTGACAACGGATTGACCAGTCCATTTCCCTTCTCACACGTAGACTGGGACAGCTGCCCTACAAGGCGGAGGACCTGGCCCAGAAGCTGCTGCATAGTGTCCCCCAGGACCGGCTGCCTGCCCAAGAAGCCCTCCAGCACGAGTACTTCGGCAGCCTTTCCCCGGCTCTACTGCAGCTGCCTGACAGTACGTACTCCCCACCTGTTGAGGCCCTCCCCACCTCCCTCCCCGCCTGCTTGTCAACTCTCCCTCATTCTCCAATCCACCTACCTTCCGTCCAATTAAATCACATTTGTCAAAGCAGCGGGGGCCTCCTCCACTGCCTGGGATAATGACAAGCAGGCGCTGTAGTTAGTTCGCGCTTCTCCAGGGAGATGATGAAAGCTACAGCAACACACGCTAAAAAAAAAAAAGGCACGGGAGGCTTATAAATGTATTTATTTTACTTTCCATATGCGGGCTGGTATTGTGGTTATGCGCTCATTAAAAAAAGAAAGACTGGTCAAAGATGACACACTCTCTGCTACTGCAGCTGCTACCCTGCTAGACAACTGTGTTTGTATATTGATTTTCAATTGACACTACACTTTGGAAGTACTTACGAGTGCGTGTCTGCACAGATGCATGTTGATTTTGTTCTTGTTTATATAGGTATGTTTCTCGTTTTCCCTGGACGCAACGACCTAAAACCAAACATCTCTGTGTTTACTAACCTCTCGAAACCAAGCTCATTTTCTCTGGTGTAAAAATGCATTTCATTAGGGTGGGCCACTGTTTGTCGTTTTTTTGCATAAATCAGGTTAATTGGCTTAAAATGAAATACTGTTGGTTACCATTTTGTTTTTGTTTTTTGTCGTTGTTTTTTGATGACAATGGCCATTTGCCTTCCAGATATGAGTGTGAATGTTCCCTGCTTCTAGTCCCCAAGAAAATCAGTCACTGCATTCTTAAAAATGAAAAAGCACAATGAAAGCAAAAAAAATATAGAGATTTTCTGTATTATAAGTACTGGTGATGCAAACATTCTTGCAAACAAAGACACTACAGATTCACCTGAGATAACATTACCACTGAGGGGATGAGATATTTTTCCAGTATATCAAGCTGGTGTTGTTAGTGTCCCCAGTGCGAGCACCAAGAATATTAAAACAAATATTCTTTAGGTAAGATTTAAAGAGTCAACTAAGCTCCCTCAGGATGCAGGTCAGACGTTGACACATTTAGTACTCCTCTCGCTGTCGTGATGAACCTTCTTTAGGTGCGTTGAGTGGTGTGTGATGCAGGTTCTTATTGTTACTACGGAAGAAAAATGAGCTGTTAAAATAGTACAGGGGTAAGGGGGGGTTGATGTCTGCCCAAATTGAGGTCTATCATCAAGTGTGCTGTTTGTAATTTAGAATTGGCAGGTGTGTTTTATTGTGACTTAACCCAGGGTAACCCAGAGGGTGTATGTAAAAAGACCTCACAATCACATCAGCCGTAGGGATAAGTTATCGTTTCATTTTCTCATCCTTCACATTAGCTTTGCGACGTCTTTACCATAAGTGCCTCATGCTTAAATTCCGAGATTGGTTTGCAGACGAGAGCAAAGCAGGTGCTGTCATCGACAACTACATTTCTTACTCGTTGTAATTTGAGCTTCATAACAAAATACAGCCATGTTGCACTGAATATTAATTGTAGCATTGGAAATGGAATGACTAGAGTTAATGTACTGAAGGGCAGTACAATTAGTATTAATGAAATTCCAATAATTTGGTTGTTCTATTGAAGTGTGATAAAAAGGCTCTGCCCTGCACTGTACATTCAAGAGGACTGATTAGATTGCAGTCTCACCAAGGAATGCTTAAATCATACTATTTTCATTTATTTTTTGTTACTTTTTATACTACTCAATGATGTCCTCCTTATATATCTATATATAACTTTTGGTAGTTTTTCTTCTTCAGGGAAATTGTTAAAGCACAGGTTTCAAGGAACAGATTTGACATTGAGTACCATTTCCCACTTTAACACGCCAAACGATTCATTCTCCACTTCTTGGATCATGTTTAAAATCTTTTTAAATTATGTCAACCCTTTTGCGAACAACTCATCAAAGGGAGGGTTCCTGTTTTCAGCTTCAAGGAAATAAGATTTACGGCAAGTCATGTTTTCCAACATTTCAGCTCAAGCTGATAACAGCTGTGAAACATTTGATGGAAGACAAGAATCCCTCCATCAGTTTGTTGTTCTAATTCAAATCAACTCACTTATCCATCCCTAAAGGACTCACACGTTAATCAAAAATCAAATTGCACATTCTACCCAAGGATATGTGAATATTTATTATTGTGAACATAATGTCATTTGGCTAAAGTGGGCTGAATTTTTTAATTTAACTTTGAAAAGTTTGAAATAGATCACTACTATGCATAGTACTTAAATACCTATCCCAACACTCAAATTCACCCATCCATTTTTTGACGGCTTCATTCAATTAAGGATCACAGGGAGCCAGGGTCTGTCTTAGCAAGCAACGGGCACAAGGCAGAATACATCCCAGATAGGATGCCAGTCCATTGCAGGGCACACACAGACACAGACTTGCACACAGTCACACCAGGACCAAGTTTCCTGGAAGCTAATTAACCTACATGTACTGTATGTCTTTGGACTGAGGGAGGAAACCACAGCACCTGGCAAAAGCCCACACAAACATGAGGAAAACATACAATCTCCATTCAGATAGAACTCCAGGGTCTGTGAAATCGAACCCAGGGTCCCAGTATTGCAAGGCATCTGTACTAACCATTGTGTCACTCTGCTGCCCACACTCTGTTTCCATAAGAACAGAATAGTAGAATACCAGGTGTGGCTTAGGAGCACTTATGCAGCACACATTTGAGAAAATGCATTCTTTTCCCAGGCAGAAGTAATTTCTGTCCAGCTGAATTACCTCGCTTAGTTTCCTTGTTGTATCCTGCTAGTACTACCCAAGATTAATAATTAACCATAAATAGCTTCTAAAGAGGTTACTTCATGAAGCAAAAGTGGGAAACTACATATATTAAATACAAAATTAAATACTTAAATTAAAATAACTAAATACAGAACAACACCTGTACTGAACCTCCATATATTGAAGTGGCAGGTTTGTCCATTCTCTTACGGACTTCTGGCTTTTTAAGCTGTGTAAGCTGGGTGGAGCTGGTTGCGCAGAGGTCAGCAGGGAAATAGCCAGGTAAAAATAGCATGACAGAGGCCTGACGCCATTGTTCATACTCTAACACGCTGCCAGTACTGTCAGTGAGAGCTGGGTCCCATCCTCCATCTGACACAACTGCAGGCTGTAATGATGGTTTAGCCTCAATTCAAGCCCTGAACCAGGCCTCTACTGTCCATACTTACCAAGTTATTACAAAATGTTTAAAGAGACATCATTCCAGGTGGAAGTTGCTTCTGGAGGTCTATGACACAAAGGAGAACTAAAAGGTTATCTCTCCTAGGTAATGTGTTCATTGTATTAGATTTAGCAGCAAAGGTATTGATACAGTGTGACCAAAAATGGAAGTGAAAGAGACAAATTCATTTGTAAATTCTGAATCAATTTATAAAGTCATGAAATAGAACAATGGGAAAAAAGTCAACAGTATCAACAACGTCTAAGTAGTGTGACGACAAGCATGTGACATTTTCATAACGGGTCCAACGAAGATGTGAAATGTCTACACCGTAACCTTATCATGACTCCAGTTTTTCTTGTCTTTTACTGAATGTCTGAGGCCCCAGGCCTGACTCTTTCTTAGACTGCAAAGTTAATTCTGGCAACTAAATCACACGAAAGCACTGTGCTACTTTTAAAATTGTATTTATACTTGGGTACATAATTGCATAATTATTTTTCATGACTGTTGTGGCTATACTGATGATAGTAGAGGATCAATAAAATCCAACAATTATAGAACATATTTAGACAGGCTTGATGGCTTTAGATATTTTAAGAAATAATTCTAAAAAGGTTAACTCTCTGACTTAAATTCATTTGGAAATGCACTTGTCCTGTTCGGTAATCTTCAACAAGCCATTGATAGACTGTGACGTGCCCAGGATTGTGAAGGTGCACATTATTCATGCAAGCAGGGATTTCAGAAAGTATAAAATAAATTCAATGCAAGTGAAAGAGAATGTCTTTTTTTTAAACAAGAGATATTTTCTATTAATCTGCCATCCGAGATTCAAAGGAAATGTCTTTCACTGCCCGCCACTTGGATTTATGATTTGAAATGGTAATTTTCCACCATATTAAAAAAAGCTGTACGTTCCAGCAAGGAGACTGCTCATGTCTAGAGTGGTAGTGAACTCAGACTGATGAGTTTCACTTTCCAGTAACATTTGTTTCCCATTTCCCCTGTCACACTCTTGTTCAGAGACCTGAGGGGCTGTTTAACAATGGTTATGCTTCCGCATGTAGATGAGGCTACTCTCCAGCTTCTCTCTTGATTAAAGACAACAGGCTATCCCTACTGACCGTCCTTCAACATTCCTTTGAACAAGCAGACTCTCATTGCCTTGTATTACTGTGCCTAATATAACAGCCAAATCTTAAAAGGATAAGTCTTTGAATTGTGGCACTTTGGCGTTGATGGACTACAGTGTTATCGTTTGAGAATTTAACTACTGTGCTGTCTTACTCTTTTCTGCATGTATACTGTGTTTATAAAGCAGAATACTGATCACTAATGTCCTTATTGCACTGTTGTATCAGTTTACCCAGTGAAATAATGGTAAACTGCCAGTTCATTTTTTGTTGGAGCCCTATCCCAGTGCAGAATAGCTAGTTTTTCTCTCGTGTGTCTGGGCTCACAGCAATGACCCCTTGCACTCATACTGGTCGGATGTAATAGTGCAGACAAGCACAATGTGCCCACTTATGACATCCACTTATCATCCTTTGACACATGTCCTTTAGTTATGCACAGGAGAGTCAGCTCTGATTGACGGAGGAGCATGTCCCTCACTGATATTTCTGTATGTCCGCAGGTATCTGAGGAATTGCAGGGGTCTTGTTTTGGTCATAGCTGAGAGAGCTCTAGTCGACTCTTTCCCTTTGCCCCTAAGTCGCTGAGCCTATTGGGCCCTGCTTCCTAGGGAATCCCTCTGACAGTAGACTAGTGACATAACTGAAACTTGAAATAGCCATGTCTGGATCATGTGGAACAGGTCACGGTTTAGCAGCCAGCAGCTACTGTACATCACCCTACTCCCCACAATGCAGTGGCAATCTGCTGAAGCTCAGCAGGTGTGAGCCTGCTTTGTACCTGGATGGGAGAACCCCTGGGAAAACCTAAGGTTGCTGCTGGAAGAGGTGTTAGTGGGGCCAATAGGGGTACTCACCCTGCTGTCTGTGTGAGTCCTAA